GTTTCAGGAAATTGCCCGGGCGCTATCCCCGAAACGAGCCACTGTACCAACTCCTGCCCGTAGGAATGCAGCAGCTCAAAGTCCTTCACGAGTTCCCAATGCCAAAGCGGTAGCTTCCATGATTACTGCATTTCGATATCGATTTTAAGCTTCCTAGTTCTGTCACACTTGAAACTGTTGAAAGCAGTGAAAATTAGAATGATTCTAGAATTATCGCATATTCAGCCAGTTTTCTGCAGTAGGATGTTTACATGGAGAGTAGTTTTGAGTGAATTGAGCCAGAGTGGATGAAAGCTATACAAAATTTCAACCAGGAAGATGACAAGTGAAAATTTGATTGAGGCTTGTGAGATAAGATAGTCTATTGGCGACTTAAAGAAGTGCAAACAAACTTGGAGTGAATTTCGAAGTCGATTTCGGCCTTTGTCGCCAGTGGTGTTTCCGGCAGTTTTCTAAAGGTTTTACTTTAATTACAACTTTTGAGCGCTAATAAAACGAAGGTGTCCTTCTTGCCAATAGGGCAAGATGGGAGGGGAAGGAAGGGAAGTAGAGAAGAGGCGTAAAAATAAGTATCTGCCCAACTGAATGTGCGAATGATAATTTTGATGTTTTTTCTTTTCATAAACAAATTTCTACTTGATGCAATGTCCGCGATAAGTCAAATCTCAGTGGTTGTCTCAGATAGCGAAAGCAAGAGCAGAAGCACTGCGCAGGGAAAAAGAGGAGAAAGCTGCTCAACTCAGAGAAGAACAATGCAGAGAACGAGCAGAACGACTTCGAAAAGAGCGAGAGGAAAAACAGTTAAGAGTATGTTCAACTATCCATAAACTGTCTTTTTTTTTTGATTTTATGTAGTTGTACGGTGAGATTCAAGCAAAGTAATAATTGATACACTTTCGAAAAAAATGTTGAACTAAATATGGAGCGATATTGGATTGGTAATAAGGAGATGCTGAGTTGTACCTTTTCAATCTAAAACTTCTTTGGAGTTGAGGGAGGTTTCGCTGAAAGAACTAAATTCAGTTCCGTGACATCCGCAATTGCGGACTCAATATATTTTCCAGCCTTATTTCTGCAATCTCGCCATGGACTTGAACTTGTTTGTACTTGGATCTATTCGTACTTTTACAATTAAAAGTAAAACTAGTTGCAGGCGAAACGAAGGCGCAATGAGAGAGAGATGCAAGAAAAACAAAAAGCCGAGGCGCTTAAAAAGAAGGAAGAGCTGGAGGAACGTAAACGTGAAGAATTTCTGCTACACAAAAGTCCTGCGTAAGCTTTGATTGTTGCCTTTCGCGTTTTGTTTGTGACTGTCTCTGTTCCAAGACGTAGAATTTCCTTCCATTATTATTTGTATGCGTTTTCGAAAAATCCGCAGTACATTATGTTCAGACGAAGTAATGCCATATCGCGTGTTTGTAGTCCATCAAGAGTGCCAAAAATGGTTGGAAACAATCAACCGCGATCGTCTAAGGTTTGCAAATACAATAAAGCACTTGCGCGACTTCTCGAGTAGCTAATTGTAGGCTCTGTTCGTATCCACACCTGGTCGTGTTCCGTCAAAAATAGCCCGAATGCAGGAGGCTGGAGGAGACACTTCGCGAGAGCCAACCATGAATACGGTAAATTGCCGTCTTAATTTTTTCCCAATCTACTCATAATTTTTTTTGGCTGCAAGCAAAAAAATCACTATCAAAGACAGCGAATTGACAGACTCCTGCTTATCTAGTGAATTATTTTGTTTGTGGTAGGAATTTCCATGCTTCAGCCATCGCGCGAAAACCGACGAAAGCCGTATCCAAGCAGAATGGCTCACATGAATAGTGAAGATTCCAGCGGCAAATGTGTGGTATGAGAGTTTTAGAGCTCTTGATTAATTTTAGTCTATTA